GGACTATGAGAACAACCATTATCTTGCGCTCGGGGTCCACGCTCGGTGCGGGAAATTGTTTCACCAATCTTGGGCTCGAGCTCGACCCACCAACTCCCGGGGGAACATCCCTTTTCGGGATCTCCAAGTGACACAATCTAGAAAAATCGTCCAATGTGGACATGTCCATGCCATCGAAGAACGAATTAAGGGGATCATCTGAACCCTAAACTCCATCATTTGACTTTTCTTTGCCCGCTTAGGCCTCTTTGAGCACAGACTCGGTATAGGAGGGCATCTCGATGATGTCAATCACACCGGTCGCCTCATTCAGAATAGGGACGTCTCTTTGGGAAGTCACAACCTGCATCTCCCCCTCAGTTTCTCGAGTCAAAAGGGGCAACCTCGTGGCCCCTCTCTCGGTCATCACCTGCTCCCCAGCAGGGATCGATCCATGAGCAACGAAGATTTCTTTTTCTTAGGGCTCATCCCTGAGCCAGTAGAGAAAGTCGAGGTCTGGTACCCTAGGCTTGGTATTCTTCTTGGGCTTCCAAACTCGGGTGGCCGTCCTCTTCTTCCTTTTCGCCTCGGGATCCGGGGAACCCGAGGAATTTCTTTTCCTCTTCTTCTCTTCCTTCACGAGAGCCCTGAACTATCCCAAAATGGAGGGCTCGGCGGGTAAGGATGTATCCTCGTCCTCATCCAACGACCTAAGTTCAGTGGTCTTAGGCATACCTATGAGAGAAAAGAAAAGGTTAGCATTATAAAAGTTGGGGGCATAGTGAACCGTGGGTTGTCAGTATTATTCACAAAATGACGTAGGAGAATCACGATCCTCCAAAATAATGGGTGAATTTGTCCGAGGCACACCTCGTACCTTTTGCAAAAGCCAAGGTTACGGGATCTATCGGGCCCAGTGTGAAATAATAAGTATAAACACTTAAATACCCCTCCACATGGGTAGTAATATCGTCGTTAGGCCGGGAGATGACCATGTCTTTGCCTTCCCAGTTATAGTCCTCTCGGACTATGAGAAAGGTATCTTCAGTAACGGAGCTTATGTATCTCCATGCTCCCTCGCCTCAGTCTTGTTGAACAGAGGCCTTCTCGACCTTGAAATCATCCCTGATGGAGCAACCCCCGTGTATAAAGCTCTTTTCGGAGGCTTGGGAACTACCTCGGGGGCGACCGCCTCGGAACCCATGGCCGAATGGAAGATGAGGGAGCCACTTGTTGCGTTACGGACTTAGATGTTTTAGCCATTGTAATATGGGAAAATATGAAGACTTGAAGGAGAATATAAAGAATTGAAAGAAAAATATGAAGAATCGAAGTAAGAGTTTGAAGGTCAGAGAAGAAGATATGAAGGTCTCGGTTGGAAATTCCAGAAAAAATATGAAGGTTTGAAGGTCTGGGATAAAGATATGAAGATTCAAGAAACAGAGTATGGAGGTTTGAAAAATTTAAAAGCCATTAGAAAATTCAAAGGTAAAATCTAGGATCAGAAAGTGGAATAAATGCAAAGGGCGAAGCTTTTATAAGGGAGAAACAGTCAATGTGCGATGTTTCACATTCGAACGCGGCCAGTCGGTGACTCACATGTGGTTAGAGTCAGAACGATGTGACTGATAGGATGTTTCGGCTTATCCGTCACCTTGGTTGTAACATACGAAGGAATAAACCCGGGTTCATCTATCGTTTCCCATCGTTTCAGCAAACCTACTCTCCGAGAAATAAGGGGACTATCTGTATAAGGGTGAAATCGGGGATAACGTACACCCCGATTTCCTAGTGAACAAAACGAAGTCAGGGCATGAACATTCGAGATTGAAATCGAAGCTAGGAACTTTTTGTATCAGGGCCCGTGAAAAGTGAGCGAAGTGCTCGCCATTTGACCTAATAAAACGACGCATCCCTGACTCGGGACGAGTCTTGAGACTTCGGACGGCACAATGAGTGGTTGTACGCGATGGATAGAAGGCCGTGATATCCGCAACCAACCAGATATCACAGCACGGATCTTGTTCGATTGCGGTTACAGACCAGTAATTAATGAGATAGGAAGATTTTTACCTTTTAGACTTGCACTAAGGATGAAACTCTCCTACTATATAAAGGGGAGGTTTTTCTTCTTTGAGGTGGAGGGTAACACAGAAACCAAGGCAATACAAATTCATTTCTCTATTCTCTAGCTATTGTAAAGTTGTTACTTCACTGATTATTCCTTGTTCACAATTAACTTCGAACTAAGGGTCCGATCGAGGGCAAATCTACTGTTCAGCCTAAGTTTGAATCGGGCCGTAATATTACATTTGATTTGATTATTTATTCTGCCCTTAATTCATTTATCTAATATTTTTGATTATTTGTGTTGAATCTATCCACATATCCTTAAAACCGCGTACAAATTTAATTGTTATCCATTTTAAGGGTAAACAGATATTTTATACAGTATTATCGAAATTTCCAAATTACAGAAATAAGAAGAAAATATCTTGGACCGGACTTTGAATCGCTGCTTGCCATTCTTCTTCATTCAAATATTCAATATATATCTTCAAATACCAGTAGCATGAACAATATAGAATGTTTTAAGGACACAAGGAGGAGTTTACTATATCGACCTAAGAAAAGTGCAAAAGTCGGTCAAGATATCCGGACACTTCAATTGTAAAAAGGAATCTATCACTCGATACAATTAATTCTTCCGGTCATATAGTATTTTGTTAATGTACTTAAAATCATTTCAGGCATCAGTATACGTAAAAATAGAAGCTGTGTAAAAGAAGTTAGACGCACACATTAAAATATGTATGACCAGATACAACTCTTCTGGTCATATAATATTTTATGTAACCTAGAACTTGAACTACAATTGCTTGTGTTTTATAAAACTTTAAATACAACCAAACAACAACAACAAAATAGTGCTTGCTAGTATGAATGCATGTCTATGAATAAATCAATAAAAATATTAGTACAAGGAAACTACCAAGCAATGAGAACAGGAGCAACCACTAACGCCGTTTGGCTTTGATTTTGGTTGCGGGTTAGAGTCATGCATGTATTATTAAGGTAGGAATTACTTATAGAATCAGTAAAGTAATTTGTCTATGAATGCATGGCTTTGATATTGTTATGCAAGGATTAAATATACGGGGATTAGCTATATAAAAATTAATTATGCAGTAGTTATATAAAGATTAGTAATATAGGATGTACATGGGTATTACTTATTATTAGCCTACCTTATTCTATCAAACTTGTTAGTATATTTTAAATAAATCATTTAAAACGAAAAAATAAAATTTTGAATAGAGGGTATTTTGTTATTTTGTTTAGTAATATGTACAAGTTATCCCATTTTTTACCCTGTATAAATAATACATATATTTCCTTATAACTTATACATATAGTAGTTGTGCGGAAAAGAAAAACTTGAACCAAATATTGCATTAGCAATTATGATATTTTATGTGAAAAAAGAAAAAACCAACTAATATTATAATATAACTTATGCTAGATTTTATGTGCAGATTTTTTATTTAAATTTTAGTTTTAATACATGAAAAACTCCTCTCTAACATGATGAATCTTCAATTTGACTGATGGTAATAGAAAAACATAATAAAAATGGTATAGCAATATAAATTCGAATTAATTTAAACCTCAAAACGAATATAGAACATCGAACAAAAAAGCAAAAAAATACAAGCAACAAAGTTCGGAGGTAATTAAGGGGAAAGAAGGGTAAAAGTGGGGTGAATAGAATTAAAAAAACAACAAATGANGGTACGTTGTCGCGTAGCGAAAGGAGGCAATTGGAAAAGGAGCGTAGCGGTGTATGTAATTTCACAAGAAAAGTGGGGGCCGAAACTGACATTCCAGCACAAACATGACGAGAAAAAAATCAATGAATAAACAATACACAAAATTTCATTTTTCAAAGAAGACCCACCCCCACCCCCTATATTAGGGATAGGTATCGGATAGGACAGCTTTGTAGAGTAACACCACCTTCACCTTTTTTCCATTCTCTTCTTTTAATTTCTAACACTGCTTCTCTCTATTTATATTTTATGTTACGCTTTTCTTATCGTCCGTTTGAATTGACTTATTTTAAGTGCTTTTAAGTTAAAATAATTTTTAAATTATTTTATAATATTTGAATAAAGTAAAAAAGTGCTTTTATACCTTTGTTTTTAAGCTAAAATAACAAAAACAAACCAAAAAACAAAAGTTAGAATTCCTAACTTATGACTTAAAAGCTATTTTGACTTAAAAACCACTTAAAATAAGCTCATCCAAACGGGCTCTTAGGCGGCTAAAAATAGAATAACAGTATGTTTTTACGTTTAGTTTTATTTATTTATTTGATGCATATTTTTATAATTATAAACATATTATATAATATATTTAAAATCATGAATTTAAAAATACTTTTGGTATATATAAAAAAATTCCTTTTAATCTTTTAATGCATTTAAGTTGAGTGCATTATTGATTTAAATTTTTTTATACAATAAGTAATAACGGCGGAGCAAATCTACATCATTATTACGAGTTCGATAGAACCTAATAACTAGAGTTTAAAATTTATCCTTATTTTTAAAAATTTACTTAATTTGTTCAAATAATTTATCTCAAATTCAATAAACTGCCATGATATGAAATTTAAAACTCATAAACTTAAAATCTTAAATTCACTTATAGTAAGTGACATATATTATTATAACTTAAACTACATTAATAAAGGTTGAAAAATATTTGTGCTCTATAGTCAAACCTCTTTATAACAATCTTGTTTGTTTCGAATATTTTTGAATGTTATAAAGAAGTGTTGTTATAAAGAATATATACTATAATATAACATAAAAATTAATAATAAAAAAGTTTAACTTTTATGATGAGGTGTTGTTATACAGGGATGCAGAAAGATATGATGGTATATCTTTTCAAATGGGATATCCAAAGTAAATATTNTGAATAGTGGTGATTAATGGTACAAACCTGCTTTTTGGTGGAGAGAAGAACCTGATGCCTTCTTTTGATGTGTGAGTGGGTGGTGCTCTTTTCTCATCAAAACATACTCTCTTCTCTACACTATAGTATATCTCTTCTTTCCATCTTCTTATACTCACCTCAGCTACTACTTCTCCTCCTAGTAATACTTTTGGTATTTTATCTTCCTTCCATTTTTCTCATTATGTACTATCATCTTTAGTCTCACATAACAAATAAAATCAACAAAGTTTGTATCTTTCTCTTTTTTTTTTTTTTGGGTGGTTTTTGCTCAGACCCTCTTGATTTTTTCTCTTGGATGATCTTTTTCAGTTAAGTTATGTGTGGGTTTTGCTTTAATTTGAATATGGGAGTGGTTGTAGGTACTAGATGAGGTTTGAATATTGAAATTTCTTGTGATTTCATGATCTTTATTCTGTGATTGTTTGAGGTTTCTTTCTAGAGTTTGCAAATCTGGTCTCTATTTTTAAGTTTTGAACCTTGATTTCAGTGTGGTCGCTCTTCTTCTACTGTTCATTGAGACCAGCCAATAAAGATTTGATTTTGATTTCTGGGGTTTCTTCATTTCTCTCTATCTCCTTTTGATTTCCACTAATCTTGACCAAAGACTCATTTTTGTTATGTAGGGATCTCATATATTTGTTGTTAAACTCTTTAGATTTACTTTGTTTGGACTTGATTTTGGACGTGTATTAGTGCTTAGTTGTTCTCCAAGAAGCAAAACTTGGAGAAATTTTATGTACCTTTTTCTTGGGTTTGTCCACATAAAATAACGTTTCATGAGACTTGATCTACCTTCACATCTTTGCTTGTGGGTTTCTTTCTTTCCCAAAATTAGTTCTTTCCTTGTTCAATGGGTCTTTTAAACATAAATAGTTGGCTTCAGATTTACTCCTTCCTACCTTAGCTTAGCACATAAAATAACATTGTTGTTGACCCCTTTAGTCTTTTGTTGGTCTTTCTTGAAACTTCTTCTCAGCTTAATTAATCTCATGTTTTTAACTCTATGTTGCAGGCTGATTTTTTTTTTATATGAAGAAAGGGTAAAATCTTGGTGTTTTAGTGGTGGTGGGGTTTTGTTTTGTTGTCTGTGGAGAGAGGCCTTTAATTAGAGGCTACTGTTATGCTGAAGGCTAAGTATAATAAGGAGATAAGACTAAGTAGTAGTAGTCTTGGAAAGTATAATAATAGGAGCATCAGCAGCAGCAGCAGTTCTTGTGACTGTTGGGAAAACAGCACAAGAAAAAGAAGAAAGGAGAAGCTTATCAGCAGATGTTATCCATTGAAAAACTTGCAGCAGCAGATCCTTCCCAAATCTCTCTACTGAAAAGTAGTAGCAGTGATGAGAGGCCTCCTCCTTCTTCTTCTTCTTCTTCTGATTCTGATAAGAAGCAACTAGATCTGAACCATTTTCATGACAACAAACCACTCCCCAAATTCTCTTTAAGGTAAAAATATATCTATATATATCCTCTGTCTCTTTGTCTTTGGGTTTCTTCCCTTTTTATTTTCATCAGCTCTTCAATGTTCTACTATTGAAGGGGTTTTTAGTCATCTGAAGATTTTCTTTCTTGAGTCAGATCCACTGTTCTAATCTGATCTTTTGATTTTGGGAAACAAAAATATTTGCCTTTTTTAGTTGGTTGTCGTTTCCTCTCCTAGTCTTATTTCATGTAGCTATATGTTCCTTTCATATGATAAGCAATTACAGACTGTTGCTTTCTGCCAATTCCCATGCTAATTTTTGTTCAGGTTGTTGTTGATGACATATGATATGAATGTTTTCTAAACAGAAATGTTATCTTGCAGAGATTATGTTTTCAGAAGCCGGAGAAAGGACATAAAGACCAACTGGCCATTTTCTCAGAAAAATTTGCAGCTTTGTTTGAAGCATGGCGTGACAGATTTCTTACCCCCTTTTCAATCTGTTAAGGGATGTGCTGTAGATAATTGTTCGATTGACAAGGACAAAACTTTTGATCAGGAGGAGCATGTTAAGGTAGATGATGATCCTAGATGTATGTCAAAATTAGCTGCGGATCATAGAAATATTAGTGCAAGTCGATCTGATAAAGAGAAGGTGATCCGGTCAACGATAACCAGTCACTCTTGTTCTGAAATTGATTCAGATCCAACAGCTGAAAGGAATCCTAGCTTGGAAACAGAAGCTGTTGGGAAATCTGAGGGTAAAGGTCTTTTACCTCCCATGTCAAACAAGAGCGGGAGCACAGCACAACCACCAGCAGCAAAAAAGTGCAGATTAATAGTCAAGTTGGGAAACGCTACAGATCATGGAACGGTAGAAGAGGAAACTACCACCAGCAACAATTTCATGGCTTCTGAGGCAATGGCTTCGAAAGTATGTCCAGTTTGCAAGACTTTCACATCCTCATCAAACACCACCTTGAATGCTCACATAGATCAATGTCTCTCTGGAGAGTCAACAATCAAGTGGACAGAAAATTCTAATAAGGTGATTAAGCACAGGATAAAGCCAAGGAAAACGAGATTGATGGTGGATATCTACACAACAGCTGCGTGCTGTACGCTGGAGGATCTCGATAGGAGGAATGGAACCAACTGGGCCTCAAACCCGAGTTTGTGCGTTCGAGACACTGAGGTATCTGCTGTTGAGAAACTGGATAAACCTCCTCCTGTTAGTCATGAATGCACTGATAATGAAGGTGCTGTTTATATTGATGCCAATGGCACAAAGGTTCGAATTCTGTCCAAGTTTAGCGATGAGCAGCCACAATCATCAAAGCTGATTAATGATCCTCTTCAGAAAAATTTGGTAGACGGAGATAAAAGAAGCAAATTCATTTTGACAAATAAGAGGAAGAAGAAGAATCATACCCAGAGACAACACAAGCTTCTGAAATCTTCTCGTACTAAAAAGTTTTGCTTGTCCAAGCCCTATCACTGTCCCAAGGTATTTTTTCCCCATCCTAGATATAAAGAAGTTTGCCCCGCTTTGCCTTTGTTCTTGAAATCCTTTTAAAATCAAGAATATTACAAGTCATCTTTAAAATATTAAATGTAGCATATAGTGCAGTGAAGAAGCTGCAACTTTGAGGAGATTGGGAGAATAATGTTACATGTGTTTCCCGGTATCTTGGCCTTTAGCTTAATTTCATGATTGTTTGTTTTGGTGGTTGGTGAAACGGAGGGCTAGATCGCTTGGTACGGGAATGGGTGTGGGGGTTGGTGGAGTTTGCATGTTTTGAGAACTAAACCGTAGTAGTTTACAGCAAGCTTCTACTTACTTCGTTTCGTTATCTTTTATCAAAATTATATTGCTTTTACCAACTAGCAGTTCTATTTAAGAATAATTTGCTTAGAACTAATTTGCAAAATATTGTATGAACAGATTGAGGGTGGTCAAGATAGCACCTTTTCCCCCAGAGAAAATGTTGTCAAAGAGGATTGCTTAAATGCGCAGCTCAGATCTCCAGAACAGGTGGTATTAAATGGATTGGGAACCATAAAACAATGGGCATGTTCCAAGAGAACTGGCCTCACAAGGAAGATCAGTGATAAGGGCAACCATCAGCGTTCTGGAGGTGTTATGTTGACTGCCGTTCAAGATGGCAATGATGTGTTGCCTATGACTGGTTCATCTTTGAAGATAAGAAGCTCTCTTTACAAATCTCCAAGATCATCTGTTAATACTGTTTGTTTGCCTGAGAGTAGCCAAAGAAAGGGGGATGTGCTACTTGAGCCTCAAGATGAACATAGCGAGGAGCCTTCTCTGCAAAAGAAAGTGGATTTTTCATTGTCTCGATCTCAATTCCCATCTAACAAGAAGAGATCCCTAGTGTTACAAAGGAACAAAGAAAAGCATTTGAAGGTAGATGTCCATTCTGTAAACAATGGCTCCGGTGATCGTCCAAAAATAACAGTAGATCATGCGCTTTCTGTGAAAAATATGAGGGTTGGGAGAAACTCAGATCTACTAGAAAAGGCGGATAACTCTGAGATCAATGGTGAACCATCCACCTCTCATCCAGCATTCTCCTCGAAAGCTAGGAAGTTGGCATCATTGAGGAAGAACCTTTTGTCTGTCAGTGAAGGGCCTGCTCGTGGTGTTAAATGTAGCTTGAAGTGGAAAACAGCTTCCCCTAGGAAGTCTAGTATGCGCTGCACTTCAGAATCAGAAGAAGCTGTAGTTTGTCAAACTGAAGGAGAGAAACGTTGTATAAGAGGAGATCCCAGTGAAACTAAAGTTCAAGTGAGCAAGAGTTGTGATAGGGTAATTGTTAAAAGATCTAGAACTTTAAGCATCGGGGAAAATAGGGAGGGGGTTATGGTTTCTTATGTGGAGGGTACCCTGGGCTTGAAGAGCTGCTCACAGTCTTCAGCTGAGATTCATTCTGATAATGAAACTGGCAGCACTTTAGCAGGTGCGTCTGATGCTATGAGATCTGTGAAAGTGAATGATCAAACTCAGAATGACAAGACTATGGATCCAGCCGTTGCCTCGGAATTCGCTGCGAGGGGAGATTTTACGAGTTTTAGCAAGTCTTTGGATGCTGGATCTGATGAGTTTCAGCACTTTAGCAGGTGCACCAAAGCTGCAACACGTTCACAAGATCCTATTTTAGGTGTTGAAGAAGAGATGTTTAGTGCAGCGGAAATTGGGAAAAGTATGAGTGATCACAATCTCCATGACGATGTTACTGAATTGGGATGTAATGATGGTCAAGGGAATTACTTTTTGGAGGTTGATCCAATTCCCATACCAGGACCGCCTGGATCTTTTTTACCTAGTCCTGGTCGTATGAGCTCAGACGACCTTCATGGGAGTTCCTCATTAACCAGCAGTAAAATTCAATCTTCTGCTGATTATCCTGAATTCTTTGATCAAGATTCTTCTGGTTCCCCTACTTCTGCTGCATCAACAGTTTCTAACTCCACTATGGCTAGAACTGGCTCAAGATATTCGGACAAGTTGTCTGGCAATGGAAGGGATTCTTCTGAAAGTCTCAAATGTCACACAGCTGGCTGGGAAGATAAAAGGTCTAGCTTTTCTGGCAGCAGTACTGTTGATCTTCTTGTGGAAAATTCTGTCACTCGACTTCAGACAGCAAATACAGGAGACGATAGGGATGGACTGGACAAATTTAATGCAAATACATTCTTTCCTGGAAAAGGAGCTTTCAGATTTACAAATGATAAGCCATGTTGTTGTGTCAGGAAAGATGGAGCATCTCAAGAGTCGCAGCTCTTACAGCGACGGGCCACGGCACCTTCCCCTTTTCCTGCCAGTGAGAATCAGTTGAGGTGTGATTCAATCAGAAGACCTAATAATATCAGTAACTCATTTTCTCTTAGTGACTCGAGTTCAGGACCTGAAACAAATGCCACTAAATCATCCATTGGATATACTCAATTTGGAGTTTCTGCTGATTCTGACTTCAAGCTACCAACTCGTGATTCCGAGTCTTTTAGTCCATCTGCTTCCAATCCAGTTCTCAGGCTGATGGGAAAGGACTTAATGGTGGTCAACAAAGATGAAGACTCCCCACTGAAAAGATCATCTCACTCAAATTCCATGAATGACCTGGCAAACACTAGACTTGCTGATGTTTCTTGTGGCAGTCTTCGTAGTGAGGATCTCTACTCCTCTCGTCAGGTGGATGCACATAATCGTCTTGTCTCTCACTTGCCTCAAACTGGTGATCCAGTACAGCATTTTGATGTCAGGTTGTTAAATGGTTTCAAAAGTCGCGACAGTTACTCAAGGCCACAACAGCTGTCCCCTACATCTCCAGTCTCGATTTCGTGCAAGAGTAGTGGTAGCGGATTGATGGGTTCTGTTGGCAGACAAGACTATTTAGGAGGGTGCAATTTACATACTGTGCTCAATGGACCAAATGATGAGACATGTGATGGAAAGAAGTTCGTGGCAACTCCCGCATCTCATTGGCAAAATTCTACTTCAGTTGGGAATGCCGTCAAAGAAATTATTATAATTGATGATTCTCCAGAAAACGGGGCTGATTCTGCATACACCATGGGCACGGGGAGAAGCAAGTCGTCAACTGGTATCCAAATGCAGATGATCAGCTCGGGCTATACCTCAAAGTTTGTGAATTTCTGTGAAAATAGACCGTGTGGTTCTCCTTACAGCGGATCTGGAGTAGCTCAGAATGCGAATTTGCCTACTCAAATGAACGAGATTCCTGCTAAGTGGAATGGCAATCCGGAAGGTTGTAGTTTTGTTCGTCCAAGCTCTTTCTCGGCTTCCTCATCACCTGCAGGTCCTTTTAGATCATCATCTTTGTATTATTCTGCCGGCTTTTCATAACCAAGAATGTTGCCTTGCATGGGCATTTACTCTCATGACAGACAATAGAAACCTGACGCTTACAAAGCATAAATATAGCAGTCTGAACGAAAACACACACGGCAAGTTTGAGCAGATGAGTTATTCTAGATTTGCAGGTTTTGCTTTAATAGCTACTTGAAAAACTGAAAGTTCCATAGAGATAAAAAGCATTTTACTGAGGCCAGTTCGAAAGTTCCCTGGAGTCCTACTATGTATAAAAGTCTTTGAATAATGAGTTGTTCCGTGGATATGAACTTCCAAAGTGGTTTCTTCTTAATACTTCTCCTCTATGATAGTACTTTGCTTCTAAGAATAGTCTAATACATAGAATACTAACTTTGCTCTTTTAGAATGAGACGTACTGTTCTCACATTAGTGGGTTTTTAGCTATGGATTTAACTGACAGCGTAAAGAATTTTGACAATATCAGCGGATTACATGTAATTATCTTTAAGGTGACCTGATGGTATACAAGTCATTATATACTGACAACGTACATATAGAAGTTAAACTCTTTAGATGTATAATATAGGATGGACGTCAAAATTGAAGAAAATCAGGAAGTTTGAATCTGGGATAGTCTAGTTGAATGGAGAGATCAACTAGAACTACATACATAGAATATTACAGGTTGTAATGGGTTGTGTATCTATGAGTCAGTGGAAGAAAATGACTAGTAGTAAGTGGAACGACAACAGCTCATTATAAGTTGCCCTTTGCATGGCTATTATACAATTATCTTGATGTGACATGCATTCACTTCTCCGAGCATTTGCACGTTTGATGGTGAAACATCATATCCATCTCTTCTCCATTATCATGCTTCATGTTTCTGTTTCTATCTCAAACCATTTGATATCCATGAGTTTAGATCTTGTTATTTTTCTCATGGCGTTCGAATTTCTATATATTTCATGTGGCTATACTTGCTAGAACCTAGAAGCCACTAAAAAAGAAAAAGTAAAGAGATGTTTATATACTACGTTCATGGAGAAAAATGAAATAACTAGTTTTTCTTTGTAGATTCTTTAACTTTTATGCTTGGAGGAAGATGGTTGTTGTTTGGGGAGACATAGTTAGGATTTGAAGTTTATGAGTTCTGAATTTGTCAATCCGTAGCTTGGCTATAATGAATTTTCTAATACAAATATAAAAGTTAAGCAAAAAATACTGAGTTCGTCCGAACCGTAAGCCGTGAACCTTGGGGGTGGTTTGGGGAGCATAATAGTCCTTTGCTGTTGTTGCAGTGGTGGTGTACGTGTTCTGATACTTTGTATTATTGCATGCAGGAAAAAAGGCAGTTCATACACGCTCCTTTATGTCTCTTTCTATTTCTTATGGGATTGTAATGTACAAATACCCTTATATTAGGTAGTATTACTTGTTACTTGTTATTATATGATAAGTATTTAGATCCATACAGAGAAAAGGATTCCAAATCCTAATTCACGCATATATTAGGGTTTCTCTAATATTACTGCATATATCTACGTGAATTTTCTTCTATACTTTTCTCATTAATTAGTATGTTAAACCTAACTTTCTTTTTCATGTAGGATTTATATATGTTGCAAACTTTTATTGATAACGGAGTTGAAAGAAACGATGATGTTTAAACTTGTGGTCTTACATGCTTTATTATTTGTATGACTATAAAAATATGTCATTAAAGACAAATTGAGAATTTTAAGTTAAATTATTATCAAATTTAACAGTCTCAACATAAACATGCTACCGCATAAATTGTAGGAGTAACCATAAGTATTCTTTTCCCTAAAAAAAATATAGTATTGGTATCGTGGAAATTAAATAGTAGTAACCATATTAATCCAAGNGGGAGGGTTTGTAGAAGTGGGTGATGATGAAATGGACAGAAGCAGGAAATATAGCCGTTGCAGACTTATAGCAAAATATATTACTCTACGTTATCACCAATTAAGTGAATGTACGACCAAACTTGTGGCTGTCCCTTTATACACTACGCTGGAAGGAAGGGCTTAGTCAAAAGTAAACAAAAGAAAAAACAAAGATGACTGGTGTGAGATGTTTTTTTGGTGGAAACGTGGGTCCCCCTATTAGTAATATAATATAGTATAGTTGTCCTGTGGTTTATATCATCGATCACCTATACTAAATCATCCATATTCTACCCTGAATTCCTAATCGAGGTCTATTTAGTACTGTAAGTTTGTGTTGGTTAAGGATTTTAGCTGAAAATATTCAGATAGGGATGAAATATTTGTTGCCTAAGTAGAAACAATCGTTGTCTAAACTAAGTATATTCATGTGATTTGACAGTGAACCCGTGTGTGAAAAAATTAAAATAAACATGACACGATCTACGTGACATGAAAATATAAGCTGGAAGCATGCATTTGATCGATCCTAGAGGAATATAATGACCCTAAACAATAATGGCTATATGTAATATATTTATGGGACTGACTAATTTATTGAATGGTGTAAAAGCTTGATCGAAAACAAGGGCAAGTTTGTGAGGATTGATCATGAATACGAAGTTTATGATAATATATATATATATATATATATATATATATATATATATGCATGATATATTTTGGACGGTAAAAGTCGATCGATAACGTGCCTTCTCGTTTTAATGCACCCTCCAAATTCAGCTCATCTAAGTTCTCACCACCACGTTTCGCCTATCTGCAATGTCAAAAAAGAATTATTATGGGACCAACTTTCGCATCATCACTTTCTTGTTGTCATAATGAAGAGTTACTCCTATTAAAAGACAAAGACCCTCTTCTCTACTGTTTCAATACTAGTCATATCATTTGTTGTATAGCATTTACATTTACATTTACCTAACATACGCCATTCGTTGAATCATCAACTAATTAAGCAATCTCTTATTTATTTAATTTTGTTAATTAGGAAACAAAAATTTAATTAGGTTTTCGTTACAATGTGTATTTCCTTCAGAACCTCTGCCTAGATTCTAGACTAGATGCCTTTGTTTTATTAAATAACCAAGGTGCAAATCGAATGTCTCAACTCCAAATATTGGTTTCTAAGCACAATTTTTTTTGGGTGAGTAAGAAGGCATGCAGTAGTCTATCTAGAGATTCTAGTCTAGTCTCACGCCACTTGAATGCATTGTGTGCACCTACTTGCGTTAATTAATAACAAAGTAGTATTATTATATAATTTGATGTGTCCCATTACTTTTGACTTCCCCTCCCCTACCTATAATCTCCAAGAGCACAAAAAGATTAACTTTCCCTCGATGGTAGTATATTTACGTAAAAAGGAGAAAAGACAAAGGTTGACGGTCTTTCTCCTTATCCTAACCCATTTCCCCCCCTTTCTCCTCCCAAATATATAGGTTCGCAAAAAAATAAATAAAGGGAGTATTTTGGCCAATGTATTAAACGTTAGTGTTTTATGTCATATTTCATATGAAGTGGAGGTCTATTGAGTTTTGTAAAAATAAGAGAAGCTTTTTAAAATAATTGACCTAAACCATTCTATATATATTATACAGTGATAAAAGGAGAAAAACTATAGAAAGAGAAGTCGCTCTCTTGCCGAGCCGTCCATCAATAAATTATATATTCTGTAGTGGGATACTAAGAAAGTTGGGCATTGTGGACCACCTTCCTCCGTCTCAAAGGGGCCATTTTCATAAATGACCTTCATTTTTTTAAGATTGTTATTTAAATTCTGTCTGCATTATATTGTGGGTTAAATTTCTCCATAAAAATAAAAATAAAAATTCATCGAATTATTTTTAAAGCCAAAATTTAGCCAGCAGAGCTTTTTTTTTTTTTTTTGGTTGAAGAAAATAGCCTTAAGAAAAGCCATATTGGTTAGGGAGAGGAATTGCGATGGCCAGGTTTTTGAGTGCATATTATTTTAATCCAAATATTTCTTGTATCAAAGGTGTCGAAATATAATGGCACTATGTTATTTGAAGAGTCAACTACAGCTTTTACCGTTGACTACAAATTACAGTCTAAAACACATGAGGCAAGCAGAAGGAAATATAAAGCCTTTGGTCGAGCAAACAATTCTTCAAACATTTCTTACTATATAAGTTATGATATAGAGTGCTTAATTATTATGTCCTATCTCCTGTGTCAAATATTAATTATTTTAATAAATTTTAATTTTCTTTAAAAAAAAAAGTCGTTTATGATAAGCTTTTAAATCTATGCTTGTTGTTTCAAAGTAAATTATTAATCAAGTAAGATGTTTAATGAGAAGTAAAGAATAGTTTAGACAAAATTTTGACGCCTATAATTAAGATTATTAAATGTATGTACAAATCTTAAAAAGACATATAATATGGACGAAAATAAGTTGTAGTACATATATAAATTTTACTTTTTTTTAAAATTAATAAATTCGTTTCATCCAAATTCATGAAAAACTAAATGAGAATCCTCATACTAAAAATTATAGTAGTAAATACTCCCTCCGTTCACTTTTACTTGTCTACTATAGTAAAAATATATTCTTATTTTACTTGTCCACCATATCTAAATCAAGAGAAAGACAATTTTTTTATTTTATGTTTTATCCTTTTCATTAATTGCTCATTTTCAAAATTATTTGTCAAGACTTGTTGAAATGCTATTATTATTATGGATTATATGATAAAATATATAATACAATTATTATTTATTAAGGGACATAAAAAATTCAAAGTGAACAAGGAAAAGTAAATAGAAATATATTGCTCCGCTGACTGAGACTCCAGATTGTCGTGGAGCTCGATTCCGTACTTCGCTCGCTTCCGATCCAAGTGTTTAATTTTCTTTTGATTTTACTATTCATTGAATTATTTTATTATTATTTGGATACAGAAGTCAGAGGTTAGGAGAAGAGAAAGGAAAATGTCTTAGTTACATTTGCACCTTTACACCTCAAAATGCAATGTACTTTAGCTGTATTTCTACATATATTACCGCTCAAATCCTCTAATTTTCTATTATCATTTCTAGTATTGCAGTTTAACTTTCTCTCTCTTTTCTTTGAATACTTATTTTATACTTTCTCTATTTCGTAAAGATTGTCCTTGACACAAATTTTAATAAAGAATGGAAAACTCTTGAGATATATGGTCTTAATTAAGCCATAATAATTGTGTGATTGTAAAACTTTTGAAAGTCTTAAACCTGGCATAACATTTATGTGGCTATAAATACTTCTCATTAAGAAAATATTAAAAAGTAACAATCTTTTTTAAACGGACTAATAAGGAAATATTGTCAATCTTTTTGAAACGGATGGGGTATTGCTTTT